GTTCCCTCAGCTTACATCGCTCTTCACACTCATTCCATCTATCCTCCAAAGCACAATTTTGCTCAATCAGTTGATCAACCTCATCTCTCAGCTCATCACATTCACCACAATTCGAATCCACATTCGCAACCACTGCAGAAATATTCTTGCTAACATTCTCTATCTGTTCTCTTAGATGCGCTTTTTCAGTGTACCACTGAAGCTCTTTCTGTTCTGCAATCTCTCTCATTCGCAACAACATGCTCAAAACATTCGCCATTCTCGCTTTTTTTCCTTTTTTAGATGTTGGTTTAGTCTTCACTGGATCATTGTGAAGATCACATTGCTTTAACAAATCATTAAACTGATGGGTCAAAGCATCATCTGCACATGTGCTGAAGCTAGCAGAAGCATGCTTTGTAAGAAAATCTCCAACTACTTCCATTGCCATGCTAATGAAGGACACAATGAAAGTTGTCTAACTAGTACCTGCACACTAGTTAATTACACTGAATACGCAATTACAAGCAGTTACAGACAGATACACTCACAAACAAACAAACACACACACAGCTGTTCCAAGTTAACCTGGACCTTATAGTCCACCAAGGAGATATTCCTGTCTCCTTAACACAACTGACTGCTACCCCCACACACTAATCCTTACTAGGACTACAGATCTTAGGCCAGAGGGATCTCCTATTGGAGCAGAAAGCTACTTCCCTTTCATGTGAAAAAAAACCAATGTATTTTCCCACTTTCTCCTCAAAGATGTCTGGTTCTATCCTATAGATCTACAGGGTACATCAGTTAACACAGGGTGATCAGCCCTTTACTGCCGGCACAAACTGAACAGCTAAACAGGCCTAAAACTTATACAATACAAAAAAACCAATATGTAACACATACACCAGCCCAAGATAAGAAACTTTTACTCACCAGATATGCATGTCCGCTCACTGATGGAGTGTTTAACAGAACTTTTAAGTATCCCTCAAACAGGGTTCCAAACTCACGACCAGCGCGAATCTCGATCTGTGTCTCTTGTAGAGGTCTTGACTTCTTCAGCTTTAGGAACTCAAGACAAAATAAATTAGGGATTGGATTCTACGTAGAATGTTCTACGTTCCTGCTTCTGGGGTGCCAAATGTAATATCTAAATTGCCTTGGCTTCCTGAAATAGGCTAACTTGCTATTCTCTGCTTCCAATGATGATAACGATACAATGGTTAAAAGAAGCAATGGTCTTATTTATTTATACACAAATCTAACTAAACATAATAAAAGATACAAACAGATACAATAAGACAATCAAGAGAATACTTTACACAGCAAGTCTGTCCTCTGGTTCCTATATCCTGGCGGGGCTCAAAGAGAGAGCAATATTGCTGCACACGGACTTTTATACCCATTCATACACATACATCGACACCCCCTTTACCCAGAATTCCGCATGTCCCTTAAATGTCTTTCGGCCAATCGGCATGGTCCTTCATATTTGTCCACATGCACTGTAGTCCTCCAGCAGGGGGCACCATCGTACTGCAGATCATTCCTTGGCCTAGGTCAACAACTTGTCCTTTGATCTTTAGACAATGGCCAGTCACCTTCATATGCAAAGTAGGATATCTTGAGTGTGTCTTCCCAATGTGCATACACTCCTATCAACACCACAGGGTGCAAAGCTTGATGTCCTGTCCAGATGAAGGAATGTCACCTTGATCATCTCCGTTGCCATGCCTCCTGCAGGCATGAACAACACACAGTTGGTTTCTTTGATGAGCAATGCCATCAAGATTTGAAGATAGCTGTTCGGCAGCTTTCGTACATGAAAATGTTGTACATTCCAGCACCGACTCCACTATTACTCTGACAAGGAGGGCATCCTGAAGAAGCTCTGTGAACGGTGCCCGCATCCAAATATACCCAGATCTTGCCAGGGACACCCTGGTTCGACGCAGGGCTCTGCGCTAGTTTTTGGAGGTCATACAACAAGCGGGAGTCGCCTATAGATGGGGCTTCCCCTCCTGCTTAATTGCAAGGGAAAACGGCGGTTCTTCGATTTCCGGAGGACTTGGCTCAATTCTGCGACATCCTGTCCATCAGATCACCCCAGTTACCTAGATGGCAAGAAGCTGTTCCTATCCTGGAACCCATACCAGATGCGTCCTGGCTACCTGCAATGTCTTCCTCACAACAACATCGCCGCCAGCCTTGAACTTCTTTCACTAACCCCGTCGGACGGTGAGATTGCAATTTGATTGAAATTGGTTTATACAACAGTATAGTTGTACTCCCCCATATCCTCATAACCCGAGTACATTACTATCGCTTCCTGGGGATAGAGACGGATAAGTGCAACGGCTATTTAGTTAATCCATTTTAACCTGAATTCCTGTTACTTGTTCTTTTTTGTTATACACAGGAAGTTTTAATAACGGTTCTGTTAATGATAATGCCACTGTTGTTACCCTACCTTACTAAATGCCGTGCTCCGCCTCTGAGTTGGGCGGGAGCATGCGACTATCTTTGCGCCTTGCGGGTGGGTGGCGCATCGCCTCATGGGCAGAGGTCTGTCCCTGCTCCTGTCTTTTTGGAGCACTGAGACAGCTTGCTGCAGCGTGGTACTGCCATGTCCCCCGCAATATGCGATACCAGCACTGGTAAGCTTCCACAAGCTTACTGCCTAGCCTTAGGCAATGGAAGCATGCTCCACATGCTTTATGTTTTTCTTGAATGTTTTCTATACTTATCTCCCTCTTCTGTGTTTCCTTACTTTTCTGAAACCACAATCCCTCTCCCCCTGTCCCATCTCCCATATCATGGTGTGGGCATCCTAGCATCACTGGTACTGCATAGCTTGTTTGTATGTCGTGAATGCCGATGGCTGACCTTAATATCCTGACTTATAACATCAGGGGACTTAACACCCCTGTCAAGAGACGTCACTTTTTTTCCACAAAGTGTTTATTGAGTAAAAACACAGAAAAAACAACAGTGTCAATGTATAAAAGAGAGAAAAGGCACTTCATATGTGAGATACAGAATCGAAGTTATGGCAGAAGAGAACTTGCTTGAAAGTGACCAGTTATAGCAATTATCAAACCAGTAATAACAGCAGTTTGGGTAATGGAGAATAGTGTAGATGTGGAGTCACGCATTGATAAGTGCCAGGGTAGATTGGTCCACTTGGTGTACATTGTCCTTATAACCTGGTCCACTTGGGTGGCCAATCGCATGGGAGCCAGCGAGAGGCCTCCAAGAAAACACATTAAAAAAAATAACAAGATGAAGGAATAAGGAGGAGCAGCAATGCTGAAGACAGGAAAGGAGATAAAGGCAGAGGAAGAAAGGGGTGAGAGGAAAGTAGAGCCACAGAGGGGAGTTTATAGGTTATACAGATCGGAATTATCTAAAGTGTCAAAAGCGCAGGATCAAAGCGGGAAGGCTGGAAATAGGAAATCCAAGGTCGCCAAATTCTA